TCAATTGATGTTGTATTACTAGAGACTAGTAATATTTAGGTTAGGGGGTGTGATTAGTAGTTAAAATTAGCAACTTACTATGCCTTTTTAAGACTAATTATGCTTTGATAGAGTTTCAATGATGAAATTTTAGGAGAAAGATTGTACAAAGGCCTAAAGTCAATGGATACCAAACTTTAATGCAACACCCACATGTTCTGGAATAAAATTGGAGAATTTAGAAACAAGGCAAGAATGTTTGAATGTCAATCCATGTATAAATGTCCTCTTGAAATTATTTGAGGACCAGACTACTGAGGTGATGTTACATGACGTGTTGCAGCTATTCCCTAAGAATAAAAAACAAAGAGGTACTTGAGTACCACGTTCGGACGCCAATCCACGTCCAAACGTTGGCTTGAATTATTTGAGGATCCCCTGGAAGAGTGTTAGGGAAATGACATATGGCGTGTTGCAGTTACTCTCACATAAGAACAAAGTCCACTTGAAGAGGAAGTTCAAACTCCATCCAGTGTTCGAACGCCCATCAAGGAAGGCAGGAGACAACGTTCAAGCAGTGTCCCCAGACAGGCTGCAGAGTGGTTGATTTTCTATCCGGAGTTTGGGGCATTCACTTGGACTTTGAAGACCTTGTACTATTCTTTCACACTTCTTTGCCCCCTCCTCCTTACCTATAAATACTTTCATTATGGGAGCTTCAAAGGGGACTAGAAACTAGAACTTAGACTTACACTTGCACTTAGCTATAGATAGACACACATAGAGGGAGATAGATCATTTTTTGGTTGATGAGGAAACCCTCCAAAAGTGACTAGCTTTCTTCTAATTTCATTATAGTTTCATTTGCTTCCATTGTTTGAGCTTCCTTCTTCCCTTATAGGAGTGAAACTCTTCCACTTTTCTAGAGCTTTATCAAAACCGTGAAGGGTGGAACGTGATTCACTCATTTTTCGTCGAAGATCGGCTCCTTGTGTTGTGTGTTTTACCTTGTAACTCCTCTACTTGAAGGGTTGAGAATCACTCATTTTTCTAGCTTTAACAAAGCCATAAAGAGTGAGTATTTTCTCATTCACTCTTTAGTAAGAGGTGATGGACATGTATAAAATATTTGAAAGTTATATTTGTGCATTTCATTTATGCGTAATGCTTTATCTCTTATTTGCTTATTGAATGATTGAATGCATCTAGCAAAGCTAAGATATTTTGCACAACTATGAATCATTTCTATGACATAGATGACTCTTGGCATAGAAAGACTCATTGGTCCTTTGCACGTACTCTAGCTAGATCTTTATGACTACCTTTTAATTTTCACCATTATCGTGCTTCAACTAAGAATGGAATACCAACACCACAGTTGGATTCCTTGTAGAAATACTTGCTTGTTTGTAGATGGGTTGAGTCTCGTCGCGGACAATTCTTGTAAATCTCTACAAAGACATCGAAATCATACTCTTAATTCTCCCAATCCATTTTTATCTTCCGATTAACTTTATGTTGACGCAGGAGTTAATTGTGTTCCCAAGCATAAGTATAATAACCAGATGATTAATTATATGTCTAGGTCCTCGAGCTAAAGGGTGACTTTTGCATTGGAGATTATATTATATTTTGTCTAGAAAATCCTCTTTGAAAGAATTTTATATTCTATCCAGAAAAATTCATAAACATCATAACTTTAAATCTCAAGGGTTCCAGTCACTTTGGCCTCTATCACTGCTTACTTCGAAACACCAACATTAGTTCCCTATAGATTCGACTCCAGATTTAACCGAATTATTACTACAACTTAACCGCCTGCACTTGGGTATACACATTTCGGATCAAGTCACGTTCCTAGCTCCTGCGTTCAATGAATGTTCCTAGGAGGCTCTTTTGCATGAGGTCCTCAACCTAATGTTTAAGAACTATGCAATCTTCAGTATTGTGACTATGGTCACAATGGAACCTACAATACTGATCTGTGGACCTCTGATTTGGATTACTTTGAGGGACACTTCAGGACTCGTTCATCCTAGACCTGGAAAAGAACTTGTTCAATTGGGTTATTAAGTGGGGTGTACTTACGAGCCAGGTCACCCTAGGTCCAAGGCCCTAAGCGATCCTTAGTACTAACTTGCTCAGTGTGGTTCTTCTTTGGGCCAACTGCCTGATCGCTCATGTGTGATTGCTCACGCCTTTCCTATCCTCTTGTCTGTCTCTCTAGGTTCCTGAAGGCGAGGACAGTGTCTTCAACATTCACATGACTTTATACTCTCGAGAGTAATTCTGTTATACTTCTTGGTGGATCTTTGGACAAGGACAAGAGTCCTCCTATAAATGCGGTGAGCACCACTTTATCATTTATACTATTGATTGGGAAGGATTCTGTTTGTGAATCTGTTAATGTAGGCTTTGAGCGATTCGTTCCTTCCTTTCTTCACATTAAGGAGATAGGTATGGGGTTTTATGTGCGTCCTTTCACCTATGAAGTGGGAGATAAACAAAGTGCTCAATTCTACAAAAGAATTAATCGAGCCCGGCTTCAACTTGTTGAACCAATGCCTATTTGTCCTTTTGAGTGTGGTTACAAAGGCCCTATACATCATCTGGTCAGGGACATTATAGAGCATCATTATGGATTTGTAGGTCACTAAGTGATCGAGAGGGTCTCTCAGGCCACTGAAACTGATCACTAGCATTTTGAATCTGAGAGGGAGAGGGTCATTAGAAACATCAGGAGTGAAAGGGGACTTGGTGTGTTGCACCAGCGTCTCAACTGCCTCTAGGATGCATGCTTTCACCGTATTCATGACATTACCCAATTTGTCATTAACCTCTTGGAACTTTCATTCCCATTGGTCATTGACTTGTAGGTGAGCCACTTCGTTCTGGCTTTGCCCCTCAACCATTTGGTTCTTGTCATGTTGTTCCTAAACATTGGGCAAACTATTTTCTAGAGGCCGTTGGACAGTTAAGAGTCGCAATATCTGCTAGTTCTAGTGAATCAGCTCTTCCACAGTTTTTTCTAATTTGTTTAGTGTCGAAGTTTTCTTTTTGCAATGACGTTGGATTCTACCAATTGGGTGTGAACTTGATTGTCCAGCTTCTCAGTTTTGGTTTTTAGTTGGATCTTTTGACTAGGTAACAACCATTGATCCTATAGTATAATGGAAAACCTCTTCGATTTCTCACAGACAGCTTCAACTGTTGATGCCAAAAATTGCCCATCGAGCTCTAGAGATGTGGTTGACCATAATTACACCTCGTCTTTCCTAGGAGGAGTCCTAGCAAGGGAAGTTGAGGACCGAAGGGGCCTCTGATGATCAAGTTAGAAAGTTGAGAATGATAATATTTAGTTGGGAGTTAGACTTACTTGGATGATCTCCAGCTTAGCCTTTTTATAGGCCAATAGGTTGGACCATTGAAGGATTTTTATCCTTTGTTTGAATAAAGACAGCACCAGAAGTGGAACAAACAATGACTCCCTATGGCATGGGTGTCTCAATTGGGTTTGAATTAGTCAAAGCGAGTTGAGTTAAGGAGCTACCGAGCTGGGATGCAGGTTTGGCGAGCTAGAGAGTGAGGAGCTGAGGACGGCCTTTCAGAGCTATGAAGCTCCTCTTCCAAGCTGTAGATCTCCTTTGCAGAGCTCGTGCTTAAGTTTACCATTGACTCTAACTTTTCTTAATTAATAATTTTATATAAATTATATAATATATTATTATAAATCCAAAATTCTAAGTCCAACCCCTAAACACTACAACTCCTCTCTCTCTCTCTCACACACACACACAGAGTCAAGGAAGAGCAACCCTAGCCTCCCTCCATCTCTCTCACTCCTTCGATGGAATAGCTCACAGATCCTTAGATCTGAGATCTCAACAAAACATCTCCGACGAAGCTCTCTCAGATAGTAACTCTCTCTCTCTCTCTCTATCTATATATGTGTGTGTGTGTGTGTGTGTGTGTTTACATGGTCCCACTCCGATTGGTGGAGGCAAAGGCAACGTATTGTGGGGGCGGAAGAAAAAACTCACTCCGACTAAAGTCGAAGTCAGTGCCCAGCCCTACCTACCACCTCCACCCCAATCCACCACTTCACACTCAAACCTTAAACATACCAGCACAACCCCCCACCTCAAATGGATCAAATACCCCCATCCTCCATTTCATTTTAATTTTCGACCAATCACAAAAATAATTCATATATTTATGATGTTTAACACATGCATTTTAAAGTGAGGAGGAGAAAGATAAATCGTCAGGGCAGTCAATCACCCGCAAATCTTCTCATTGGCATACACACGGGGGGATACCATGAGAAGGGATATGAAGAGCGCTGCGTAGAGAAGGGAGAGGGCTTGGGAGTAAGCAACTTATGATAGTCATAAAAAAGGACAACTCTTGGATCACAACTTTTATAAAACTACAGGGCCATAAAATACAAATCATATTCGGATAATCAAATGCAAATTCAGATTAAAATCCAATACATTCACAAGCGTAATTGTGTGCAGTGAAATTACTATTTCGAAGTCACTCTTTGGCTTCCTTTGCAAAGTTTAAGTTCAAGTCAAGATGCTGTTTGCCAGGTGCTAAGTTGGCTTTAAGAAAAAGTAATTGGTAAAAGGTGCTACCCAGTTATCAAAAACATTTCTAGTTATCACAGGTGTCTTTAAAATTCTAAAATTAGAATGAAATAAAACCTAAACTCTCAATTCATTGCGAAATCTCCAAGATACATTTCGGTATAAGTTCCCAAGAAATAGCACACCCAAACAGGCAGAATCTCAACTTTTAGGCTAGTATGCCCATACCTTTTGTTTTTCCTTCTGTCCGTCGCTTGTATTGTCAAAGCACATTACACAATATCCTAAATAAACTCTAACCATCAATGAGTTGGTAAAACTGAACATTTTGAAGGACCTGCCAACTGATCATTATCCCTAGCAAAGAAACAAAACAATTCTCAAAACTGAACTCTGAAAATATTGGCCACAAACGTGCAAAGATATGCTACTCAAAATACTCAAAAATAATGCATTCGGTTCTTTACAAATTTCGGCATAAGAAAACTTCCCTTCAGCAACAACTACCTCTATGCCTAATATTTGCGAGGAACATTCCCTTTTAAAACTAGAAAGAAACTAGAATGCTGTCCTACCCCTGAATACTGCCACATTATCCAGAGCTGCCTATACAGATGCACCTAGCTTTTCCTAGGTCTTATTTGAACCTAATGAGATAACTTAAAAGCACACTTTCGTCTGCAAGATAAGCAATTATTATTCCCGCCCAAATCAAGAACTCAACGGCCCTAAAATGAGCATGCGATCTCTATAGTCTTCAGTCCTTTGTACATTTTCAAAGCTAAACACCAAATTACCTATGAGCAGGTGTGTGCGGCATTGGATATGTCATGGAACCCATATTCACTGGGGCACCAGGAACTAATGTCCCGGGAACTGGGTTCCTAACAACATATCCCATGTGTGCTGGTTGAGGAAGATTTACCGGCGTGCCAACTGCTGAAACAAGGGGTCCCCCTATTGGTTGCCCTATAGTTGGTGCATCATACATGCCAACTCCAGGGGGAGCAGCTGGGGCTTGAAGTGGTAGTTTGTTTGATTTGCCACTTGAAACTCCTGCAGAACCATTTGTTTGACCCGTAATTGGCCCTTGGGGCACTGCTACATCACCACTGTTAACACTAGTGATATCATGAATGCTCGATCGCCTCCTATCTTTGTTCATAGAGTTTAAACGAATGAAATACTTCTGCGCATGGCTTGCCACTTGTGTTGGCGTTCTTGTTACCACAAAATTTCGAGATATACTTCGCCAATCACCTTTCCCGTACTTATCCAAACCGAGAAGAAATAATCTGTGTTGTCAAAAGAAAAAAAGAAATTCATCAATAAAAGAAATATCATTGGACTCTTAATGACAGAATCAAAGGTAGCATTCAAGGAGCGAAGAATAGGCAGTAAAACAGAACAGTGCAAGGTAGATGATATTGACAGCCTAAAGTATCTGTTCATTCCTTTTTGAAAACAAGCATAAATGGATCAAGACCAAAAACTCTCTTGTTACAAGCATCTGAACACTTAATGCCTGATAAGGTTCGAATCAATTTAACAAATAATTTATGCACAAATGTAGTTCTCAATCAACAATTGAAGCCAAAAAATGAAACAAGACAAAAAAAAAAAAAAAACATGTAAAAGTATGCTTTGAACAAAATCTACGGGGGGAAAAAAGCGACCAATTTCAAAAAAAAAAAAAGACATAATTCAATGCAAACTGATGGGTATCATGGCTCTATTACATACATAGTGTTTAACAACCTATTGCTCTAGTATTTTCCTGTGATATTACAAGTAAACAAATGAAGGATTCAGACTGAAAAACCAAAAAAAAATTTAGCATTTTTACGCAAAAATTATAGAGAAAGAAAAAGGCTAAAAATTCCATCAGGAGTTGATTTTCAGAAAAATAACAATTTTTACAAAAAATAGGAAAGATATACCAAACAAACCATGATCAACCCAAAAAAATCATAGATGGATCAAAAGCCTCTTTTTTTGTCACTGATCAGTAATAAAAATCATAGATGGTGAAAGCTGATTTCTCTTTACTATCAAGTTCTCCACTCACATAGTCAGTGCCATTCCAAATATCCCTGTTTAATTCTTAATGAGCATAACCTATGCCCAATCTCTTCCTCAAGGCATCAAAGAGAAATGAGTTTTCTCCATGAAGAATCTGGTTATAAATGACTACGTGTTTGGCATGTAAGCTACCACAAAGGATGGCTATCTAGACAACCAACAACATGCCCCAATGCAGTTCGTGTTCCATTTCATGGCTCCAAATCAGTAGCTTACAAAAACTCTTTTAAAGAACTCCATTGTATATCAAGAAGTCATGGGTGCCATTACAAAGAATTGTTACCAAGCTTAACAAAGGATAAGCAGTGTGCCAAGTTATTTGTTTGTCAATGCAAGTTACCCTCATGGAGCTCATCCATGCTTTCAGTGCACTGCTTCTGACACAACATTGGAGAACACGGTGGCATAGCTCAATGGTGCTTTTTTTCCCAAGGCCATTAGCCTGGATGCCAATAACTGAACCCACCCCCACCCTACCCCACAAACAACAGCCAACTAGCTTTACAGGCATTGCTATAGTAGTGGCAATAAACACTTCTTAAGTAAAAAAGTTCTATCATCCATTACGCTGAAATATAACAAAACATATTTTTATGTAATACTCAGGCTCATTTGGTTGCTATATAGTAAAAGAAAGAATCGTATTAGCTAATACAAGCTAATTCTGTGTAAGTGAATAAAATATGAGATTAAATATGGGATAAAAATAATACTCATTGTAATTTAGTGTTTAGTAAGATATTGGATAAGAGTGGGATACTAGAGTGCTAGTTACATATTGACCAAAAAACCATCAATCGAATCTAGTTATGCATCCTTTCGTTTAGTTGGAGGGCAAAATAGTAAAATATAACTTAATACGGCTATACTGTATTATAATACCACCTCTTCACGTGGTATTAAAATTGGCTCAATAGTATGGGTAGAACGTATTATTTGTATACTTATTTTCTATGTATACGAAATAAGACTAGATATAATAAGGAGCATTTTTAGCAACCAAACAAGGTTGGATTAGAGAGTTTTAATTTGTTATGACTCCTTAAAACACCCCCTTGTAGTGCAACCAAACGATCCCTCAGAGTACTGCAACAAGCGCTACTAAATGTCTAAGCATATAACCTACGTCTATTGTCAAACAACGAACAAGGTGGCTAATCATAGCACTATGAACACCGGTTTGAGTTGCAAACAAATGAGCAGTTACATGTCTAGATGCATGCAATACCTCAGGAGGGATCATAAATCTTTCAAGCACGAGTCATGTCTAACTCCATGTAATAAAATCAAGAGATATTTAAAATTTCTTCATATTAAAGCAGATAGTTTAAAGCCTCAGAATATAGGGGTTTAGCCATATACACTGTGAGATCAGACACCAAATATATTGTTAGACTAGATGAAAATGCTATTTTTTCCAGTTTTAGTAATGTTAAGAGAGCTTGTAACCCAGAATAATTAGGACCCCCAAAGTTGGTTAATATACTTGAGGGGCTATTTCATTCATTGCCAATTAGTTTTGGGTGGGATGCTCTAATATGGTACGAGAACTGGGTATTGGGTGGTGAGTGGGCCAAGTCTATTGTACATTTGAATTCTGGTATGCATGATTTTTGTTTGTTTGTTCACCCCACGTTTGAGTCCAGCTCCCACGTGAGGATAGGTGTTAAGAGAGCTTGTATCCTACATTGAATAATTAGGACCAACAAGTTTTGTTTATATACTTGAGCGGCTACTCTAACCGTTGCCAATTGTTTTGAGTTGGATACTCTAACAACTAAGATTGCCCCCGGCATCTTATTTCATTGCCGACCTATAAATTTCTCGTGATTAAATGTTACTTCAATAAATTTCCCTCCCAAAAACCCTTATTACTGCATTTTTCATTATGATAAATTGTAATCAGAAGCTATGACTCTCCAACTCTAGGAAAGGGAGAAAATGTGAAAACCTGTGAATCATCAGAACACAATAAGGATAAATCATATATCTAGACTATCTTGTCAATTGAATTTAATTTGAAATTTGGTGGCTAAACAAACTTACAGCCCTAACATATCAATGGTAAGAAAGAACCTGCGTAGATTAGTTCCTAAAAGGGAGATAGATATACATGCTTGTGAACTACTCCAAACCATGTTTAATCATAACCAAAAGAGTCTTCAGGACAAGTAATTAGATGACAAATTTTCATCCTTGCGGATAAAGTTTAAAAGAGCTACTGGCAGCAGATAGTAGAACTAATCAATGCCATTTCAATCATATCTTTTTTTCAGCAAAATGACTTCTATAAAGCAGCAGATAAATACGTGATTATGTTTCAGATAAATACGTGATCAATGCCACAAAACTTGGGATTCACCACCCATTTAATACATGATTATGTTTCAGTTGACTAGTCAAACACTTGTTCAGCAAATATCAGTGCCTTACTAGCAAAGTGACATGCCCACATGCATGCCTGTGTGCACGACTACATGTAGACAGCAAGGGAATGCAATAACTAAGGTCGTCAAAATGTGCATCGCAACGCCTATTGTTTTTCAAAAATAAATAAGATGAACCTTCTAGTATCCTGTATTGTAAGACACTCAATTTAAAAAATTAGATTAATATTTAAAAACCCCTATATATAGTGTTCAACTCATAAACAATTGTGTGTTTGCGCAGAGATCGAAAGAGAGACAACCTTCGTAACGAAATATAGCAAGGGTTTCATCTGTTTGAACAAGAAGCACGAGTAGTGGAAGAGAATTGCAGGAGAAGAAGATGATTGCAGGCTTGTTTATTTTAGATTGAACCAAAAAGAAAATACTAATATATGAAAAACCCAGTTGTCTCACTGTTTATGGTATAATTAAAAAAGGTGCCTTGCACAAATAGATTTTTCACTGCATTGAAACATATGACACATACCACATATCATACAATATCAACAACTCTAATAATAACAACTAAAATCAACTCAACTAAAGCTTAAGCCACAACTATTGTCTGGGCAGCTGTGGTTGTCTTTATATCATGCGGCATTTAGAAGAAAGGAACTGCCATTCTTTTGAAGGTGTGGAGCTGCTGACTGTCAAAACAAAGTGGGTTAAATGGAAGACAATTATAACTATCATAAAATTCTGAAAACAGTAATGTTATGCTTACCAAGTATCTTACCAAGTTTTTCATCTCAAGTAATGTGACACAATCTTCATCATTAAATATTAATAAGACTCATTTATTTGATGGTAAAAATTATGTCACATTACTTGGGATAGGAAACTTGGCAAGAAATCTTGATCTGCATATCATTGTTGTTCTGATAAATGTGTTTAAGGGTTCAGTTTCACTCTTTCCCACTACCAATTTTCTTACCAAGTTCTCGATTCAAATTGGGATTTTATTGATCCAAGGTATTTGTTTTGTTTGTTAGGACTTGGGCGTATTTAGTTATTGAGTTGACCCAATTTACATTTATTATTTTAATACCTAACCCTCAATGCAAATGTGATTGTCTTATATAATTATCATTGTAGTGGGGAATGTTGACAAATGAGAAAAGTTACTTAAAGTTTTTTCATTACTGAAATCTTTCTTCATTCGCTAATCTCTTTCTTTGAAAAGTTGAATGCAACAGTTACGCTTCATCTCCTCTCTTGGAAATTTATTATAGCAAGATAGTTTTCCATTCTTATTATTTTCTTTATTTATTTATTGTGTGTTTTGATGTCGAACAATCAAAGTTGTTTATTTAAAAATCTCTCAACTTTTCAGTCTCTCTTCTACATCGCTTTCTGAAAGTTAAGATCAAAATACTTCAATTCTTCCATTTCTCTTCACAAAATTCCACAAGGTTAATAGTTCGCCTTTGATTTTCAACCATCTTCAATACTCAGATTGTAGTTTCTCAAATATTAGTCATATCTCCAAGTTTTTGTTTATAATAACATTTTTATTTGCATATATACTAGTTTTGTTTAATTCTTATTTTTAAGAATTTTGTATTGTCATAAATTTTTTCATCTCAGTTTTGCCGTTCGTAGGATCTTATGATTCTCGATCCGATCCTACAATCTAGATTCTTTAGACCCCACCGATTCAAGACAGGATCCCGATTTTGCAAGATTTAAGCAATAACCATAGCTCTTTCTTAAAATAAGGCATGTGCTTGGACCAACTCTAAAGACCGACATTTAACACACGTTATTGTTACACAGTAAAATCAAATTAGGTTCTACAAAAACTACTAGTTTTTATGATTGATAAACTACTTATAACCAAGTTTGTCAAAACGTGTATCGGATCAAGTATCATTTTTCAAACAAACGTATCGCTATCGTGTACCATAAGATATATACAATTTTATAAAATATATTAAAAAATACATATGCTTATGGCAAAATGTCATAATAACATTTCATTACACCACAAATTTCTCACATAAAACAATTTAAAAAGACTACAAGAACCAAAACAAAAAAATAACAATTTATAAGTATTTAAGATTTTATTATAATTCATCAATATCAAAGTTTGGAGAGTTCTAGTTCTAACATCTAAAGTTGGCCAAAGGAGGACATTTTTAACAATCAAACTATTTGTTCCTACGATGGAACGAATAAAAAAGAAGACTTCATTTTATAAAACTATAGATGGTGAAACATTTCATTACCTAATGCTTAAAAAAATTATTTCCAAGTAAAAATGCATTGTTTTCTAATTAAAATTCAGAAAAAAAAAAAATTTGATCTGTTTTGTCCAATATTGGACGACTCATACATATCATCTCGTATCGGGTGTATCTTATTGTTTAACACACAATACGATGCAAACCGATACACTTAAGCAATACATATCATTTTCGTAATGTATCGAAATGCATCGTACAATAATGTTGGGTGTATTTTTGGATTGTGAGTGTGCCAATGTCTAATTGGACTTAAAATCCAAATATGTACAATCTTAATTATTTGAACTGGCATGAGATTCTTAAATCGTGATTGTTCAAACGATTATAGCAAGGCGTAAGATTACCGCTAAGCTCTTTTCTATGCCTTGAAGATCAAGGACTTAAACAATTTCCAACCAGTAACAGAATGGACTGGAATGTAGAAACACAATTAGAATGTAAAAAAACAGAAGCACCAGAATTCGTAAAAAAAAAAAAATACTGATATACTTAACATTAAACGTAAATAAAAATCACCGGAGTGATGGGTTACAAGCTAGGAAGTACGAATACTCCAATAGGGGTTGACGTGGTTGTGGCAGACACGTGTCCAACACGAATACGCGTGGAACACAGTCAGACATGTCTCTGATACTTCCACAACTATCTTGAAAAAAAAATTATAAAAAATCGGATACCAGATAAATACAGGAAGGATACAGTACCTCTCTTCTTCAACCACGGATCTAAAAGCCACAGATTTGAACTTGGTCAAGTATGTTGAAGAACTCTTCCTCTTCTTCTTCTTTCCTTCATCTTCTCCGTCTGACTTGGATCTATGCGATCTAGATTTGTTCGATCTCTCTCTCTCCCTCTCTCTTTGTAGATATAAGCTTTCCAATTCTTTTTTCTTTTTTTTATCAGTCACGCCTCTCTCTTTCTCTCTCTCTCGAAGCTTCTTCGTTGTGGTGGTGTAGTGTCCACCAAATAACTAAACTCTTGTATTTAATGTTAAATTACAATGACATCCTATTAGTTTAGCCCATTCCCCATAACATTTAGCCCACTGTCCATAACATTTAGCCCACTAATTAAATTTACTATTAATTCATTTTTTCAATTATAAAATATTAATTAATTACTCAATTATTATTAATTTTATTATATACAAAAAAATTTATATTATTTTAATTAGCCGCACCCGTGTCTTATATTTTAGAATTTTGTCATATCCCCGTATCTGTATCCGTACTTCCTAGGTTACAAGTTAAAGGAAATTTGCAAAGAAATAAACTAAGTGAAAAAAAAGGTTTATTTTGTGTAAAGTTGTTTTGTTGATCAAGAGATCCTTTTCTGTAGTTTTGCCTTGGTATATATAGGAGATGGTTCATAACCGTCAAA